GTCTCTCTGAAACTTCTACTTTGGGGGACATCAGTTTTTCCTCATGATTGCTCCTAGTCTCTCAGCTTTCAAAAGCTCATTGTTTCACATGCCATACCTTTAAATTATCATTAAGAAGCATTCGAAAATATGGTTTTAAGGAAATTACTCTGAAAAAACCTATAAAATATTTGAGTGATATGCTTTAGGACAGTTCACAGAACTTAATAAAATAATTATTATTTAGAATTCTATAGGAGAGGTTATTCTCTATGAAGTTTAATAGGATTTTTCCATTACATTTTGTACTGTTAAAATAGCTTCCCTTAGAGGATATAAGTTGAAATCCAAGGAGAGAATGATGGTTGCTTGCTACATTGAGACTCCATTCCAGGCTGGCAAACACAACAGCCAATACCACACACTATTGTTGCTGACCCTGAAGAAAGCTAAAACACTAGTCTGATTTCTTTAAATCCACCAGCTAAATTCTACCCTTGGTAAGATATATAGGTAGAAATACTAGACAAGTGCTAAACTTTACCTGTCATGGACTATGTAGCTTTCCTTCATTTATTATTCACCCATTAGTAGATCTGGCTATGGGAGAGGTTACTACATGTACACTAAGGAAATACATAATATGTTTGAACAGTAGCATGCCTAGCTATGTTGGCTTAGGATGCCTCGTTCTGTTTGTTGCACACAGAAAAGTTAGGCTACACTGTATCTACACTACAAGTACACCACTGAAACGTAGATACTTCCTACAGTGATGGATGGGGTTTTTCCATTGCTGAAGTAATCCACCCCTTCAAGAGGCAGTAGCTAGGCTGACTGAAAAATTCTTCCGTCAACCTAGCAGCATCTATACTGGTAGGTCAGCTTAACTACATCTCTTGGGGGGGGGAGCAACATAGTCAGGTCAACTTAGGTTTTAGGTGTAGACCAGGCCTCCGTTATATTTTTCAAGTCTCCCAGAAGGTTATCCCACCTGGGACTAGCAGCATGTAAGACAACTGTTCAGAGCCATTAGAATTACATCAGATGAACCAGAAAGTGGGTCCCTGGTGCATGTATCATTTCTCCTGTAGTGGACTTTCTCTCTCAAGGCATGTCATCTGCCCTCTCTCCACTAGTTTCTTTCCTAAACCAAGCAGTTAGGACTACACTATCTAAGCAGCATACACTATATATACATATATATATATATATATATATATATATATATATA